CAGGTACTCAAACTAGTTCAGGCAGGTAGCTAATATAATAAACTTGACTTTTCTATTTTTGTATTATAGATTCTACATTATTAAGCTACACATAGTTTTAATTTTATCATAGCATGTTATTTTTGTTAGACTTATGGTTACTTTATTTAATTGTAATCATATTCGTTCCTGTATGTAAAAATGTGTAATTAGAAATGAAATAAATATTTATCATTATATATATTATTATTATTATCTTACCCTGTAGTCAGCCTCTCACTTATTCTTACATATTTGGCATAGAATTTCTTTATTATGTATATTTCCAAATATCATCATCATCATTACAGCTCTTCACAAGTCCACTGCTGAATATAGGCCTTCCCCAAGGAATGCCACAAAGCACGGTCCCGAGGCACCTGTATCCATTGACTTCCTGCATGTCTTACCAAGTCGTCACTCCATCTAATGGGGGGACGCCCTACAATCCGCCTGCCGGTACGAGGCCGCCACTCGAGAACCTTTCTTCCCCATCGGTTGTCGGTTCTTCGAGCTGTATGGCCGGCCCATTGCCACTTCAGCTTACTAATCCTTTGGACTAAGTCGATTACTCGCAGAAAAACGCCGAGCATAGTCCTCTCCATAGCTCGCTGAGCGAATTTGAACTTCCTCATACGGCCAGCATTGAAGGGGCACGACTCAGATCCATAGGTCATCACTGGCAACACGCACTGGTTGTACAACCTAGTTTTGAGGTTATGAGGTATACCTGACGAGAAGATGTGTCGTAATCTCCTGAACGCTGCCCAACAGAGTTGAATCCGTCGATTGACCAGTCGGTCGAAGTTGGACTTCGATTTGCCGACGATATACTCCTTATGGCAGAATCGCTGGAGGACCTAAACACTATGCTCAATGACCTCAATAGTGTCTCCCAACGGATAGGTCTTAAGATGAACATGGACAAAACAAATATCGTATTTAACGTCCATGTCACACCTATGCCAGTATTTGTTGGGAGCACTAAGCTCTCGAAGTTGTTGACGAATATGTTTACCTGGGACAAATAGTCCGACTAGGTAAGTCCAATTTTCATATATGTTCCCAGCGAATTCAGTACATTTCAAATATACCATGCAAGGCAATCGTCACATCCAATATTCTTTAAATCAATAATTTCTGTTTCGCTAGTCGCTAGTAGTAATTCCTCTTCACAGTTTTTGCATCTTACTTTGTTTATTGTACATATAGTATTTTTCTTCCTCCTTTTGCTATTTTTCGAATTCAACAGCTGCTCCGCTTTCCTTTTTATAATTATTCTTTCTTTTTTTGACTTTGTTCTTCTTTCTTTGTTTTAGCTTCAAATATTTTTTTTATCAATATATCGTTCTTTTTCTGTTGCTTCATTTCTTCTTATTGTTTCTGAAATTGTCGCCACTCTTTGGAAGAAATAGCTCCAATTCTTTTCATCCCATTGCTAATCGCCGCCATAGCTTGTGTTAATTGCTCTTCTTTGTATTGATGGACGGATTTTTGACATGATAGAATTCTAAAACAAATGATTTTCAAGCTAAAATAACCGTGTATAGATTTAACCCTTATTGAAAAGGCTTTAAGGTACTATTTTGTGCAACAGGACTAACGGCTGACTACTGGATTTGTAGACCCATTGGTCGGCCCCTGACATGCTGTTACATTTGTACGCGGCTGACTACTGGTAAAATACACGTTTCGCCTTATAAGAGTTAAACCCAAAGTAATGAGCAAAATTGGTACTTTTCGTTCTGTTAATTTCAACTACATATAAGAAATTCACGAAAAAGCCAGTAGTCAGCCACTTATGGCTGAGTACTGGATCTACCCTAAAAATTCGAAACCCATTAGTAGGCCACCTAAATTACAACATATTAAACAAATAAATTGCGTGTAATAGTTAATTGTATCACAAACCAAACATTTTATTGTAACACAGTATATTAATCCACCACAAATTACAACAAATACACCCATATATTTACCGACAACTACCACAAACAACCAATTTCAACACTACCGGATGTTTTACGGGTAAAACACCCGGTAGTCAGCCGCGTACAAATGTAGGTAATTACATGTTAGGGGCCGCTCAATGGGTCTACAAATCCAGTTGTCAGCCGTTAGTCCTGTTGAACAAAATAGTACCATAAAACTTTTTTAATAAGGGTTAATTTATGCACAGTTATTTTAGCATGAAAAGCTATGGCAGCCATTAGTCATCATCATCATTACAGCCCTTCACAAGTCCACTGCTGAACATAGGCCTCCCCCAAGGAATGCCACAAAGCACGGTCCTAAGCCACCTGCATCCATCGACTTCCTGCATGTCTTACCAGGTCGTCACACCATCTAGTGGGGGGACGCCCTACACTTCGTCCGCCGGTACGAGGCCGCCACTCGAGAACCTTTTTTCACACCGGAGGCGTGGAGGAAAAGTGCGGTGGTCTTATTCTTCAAGAAAGGTGACAACGCTCTCTTGAAGAACTACAGACCGATTTCCCTTCTGATCCGCGTCTACGTGCTGTTTTCGAGAGTCATTACGAATCATCTCGCGCGCAGACTTGACCACTTCCAGCCCCCCGAACAAGCTGGTTTCCGAAAAGGCTTTAAGCACCATAGACCACATACATACCCTTCGGTAAATTATACAGAAGTCCGAGGAGTACAATTTGCCACTATGTCTGGCGTATGTGGACTATGAGAAAGCCTTTGATTCCGTCGAAGTTTGGACGGTGCTGCAGTCCCTTCAGCGATGCCAAGTTAACTATCGGTATATCGAAGTGCTGAAGTGCTTGTACAGTAGGTCTACGATGGCTATCCGAGTACAGAACCAGAGTACGAAACCTATCCAATTGCAGAGAGGTGTAAGACAGGGTGACGTGATATCCCCGAAACTCTTCACCGCTGCATTGGAAGACGTTTTCAAGCTTCTGGACTGGAAAGGATACGGTATTAACATCAATGGCGAGTACATCACTCACCTTCCATTTGCCAATGATATAGTCCTTATGGCAGAATCGCTGGAGGACCTAAGCACTATGCTCAATGACCTCAATAGTGTTTCCCAACGGATAGGTCTTAAGATGAACATGGACAAAACAAAGATCATGTTTAATGTCCATGTCACACCTATGCCGGTAGTTGTTGGGAGCACTAAGCTCGAAGTTGTTGACGAGTATGTTTACCTGGGACAAATAGTCCGACTAGGTAAGTCCAACTTCGACCGAGAGGTCAATCGACCGATTCAACTCGGTTGGGCAGCGTTCGGGAAATTACGGCACATCTTCTCGTCAGGTATACCTCAAAACTTGAAAACAAGACTGTACAACCAGTGCGTGTTGCTAGTGATGACCTATGATACTGAGACGTGGTCTTTCACTGCTGGCCGTATGAGGAAGCTCAAGGTCGCTTAGCGAGCTATGGAGAGGGCTATGCTCGGAGTTTCTTTGCGAGATAAACTTAGAAATGAGGATATCCGCATTAGAACCAGAGTGACCGACATAGCCCAACGGATTAGTAAGCTGAAGTGGCAATGGGCCGGCCATATAGCTCGAAGCCATTAGTAATGGGATGAAAAGAATACAAACGAAAAGAAGATGTGAAGCAACAGAAAAATAACGATATATTGATTTAAAAAATTAAGAGATTTGATGCTAAAACAAAGAAAGAAGAAGAAAAGCAAAAAAATAAAAAGAAAGAAGAATTACAAAAGAGGAAGGCGGAAAAGCTGTTGAATTCCAAAAATAGTAAAAAGAGGAAGAAAAATACGACATGTATAATAAACAGAGTAAGATGCAAAAACTGTAAAGAGGAATTGACTAGCGACAGAAATAATATACTCGTATTGGACGTAACTATTGCCTTGCATGATATCATTTGAAATGTACTGAATTCGCTGGGGACATAAGTGTATGAAAATATACATAGTAAATAATTTCTATGGCAAATATGCAAGAATAAGTGGGAGCCTGACTACAGGGTAAGACATGGCTGACTTGTGGAGAAATAAGACTGACTACTGGTGAAAAGTGTCATAATTTGTTTAATGTTGATTTTTTATATAATTCTATAATAAATATAATGTTTTGTTGATTTCTTTAGTAAATTTAATAAAACAACCTTTCGGAGAATAATGATTGTTATTATTCATAATGTTTTATTTTTAAAATACAGTTGATTCAAATTTTAGTCCTCACTAAAAGGCTGACTACTGGGTGTTTTACGCTAGTATGCTTGCCAAATTGCTTCAAATTTTGTAAAAGGAAATGTCCAGAAGTAAGTTTTGAATAGAATGATAAGTATTGAGGAAAAAAAGTACATGTAATTTCTTCACCATTATTGCCGCCAACGCCATGTTTACATAGCAACGTTAAAATTTTATTACGATTAAAAATAATAAAAAAGTTATTTCAATTTTAATATACTTCATGAAAGAATTAAGGCTTTTACACACTTGCTTAGAAATAGGTAATTTAGTTGCATCTTTGATTTCTTTTGAAATTTTTAAGAGTTTATTGTACTAAAATTAAAGTATTAAGTATAAGTTAATTTTAATTAATTTTAGACTATAAAAAATATTTCACCCATCATCGTTTTAAGTAGGTACTATATTCTATACATTTATACAAATATAAATAAAATTGATGAATCTGTCTTGGAAAACGTAATTTTTTATGTTTAGTTGTTATTAACAAAACGTTGCTGCATAAACAGAGGGAAACAAACTAGAATATAAAAACATAAAAAATTACGTTTTCACACGTAAGTGGGACGATATCGAGTTAAAACTTTATGCATGTTCTGATTTTGATGTTGTGGTGGACTGGCCTTATGAAAGCAGTTACTCGGCTATGAAATACCTGTTTGAATTTTATTAAATCTACGTGCATCTGACACGTGCGAATACACGTGTCAGATTGTGCAGAAATAATATTATGCGATAATAATAAATAAAAAAATCTTAGCTTTAATGATGATATTTCGTAATGAAGCTCAGCCGTTATGAAGTTTTGTTTATAGTTGAACTTTTAATTGGAACACGGTTATCTTTAATTATGTCTTTGGGCACTAATCAAAATTTTCTATATGAGAAATTACAAAACTACGGATTAGGTAAGCGTGTAATGTAAGTACACTACTTAATTCAAATAACATACAGTGCTAATCCCATTCAAAGCGTGCCTGTCTGAGTGCTTATAATTTTATATTTTTATCGGTTTTAATTTTCTGTTGTTAGGTTAGGTTTTTTCACTTTTGGGCTATATTATAATACTTACGTACTTAATTTTTAAAAAACAGTAAAAAATTATAAATTTATTAGATAAATAAACACGATTTCATAACTTCAGGCCATCTAGCGTCTATTTTATGTACCACCTTGAGAGTCGATCAATTTTTATTAGTCAAAATGTCTTCACCTATAGAAAGAAGATGGCTCTATTACAAAATTGTTATATACAACAATTCAAGAAAATATTGTTTTGATTTATTACACTAAAATTCAGGCTTTACATGTCTAAAATAAGGATTGTAACATTCAAAGAAAAGAAAGAAAGAAATAGAAACCCCTATGACATCCTTGGAATTGTTAGCTGGAATTTTTATTAAGGTACGTTGGGGTAAGATCGGTGATGGGGCAAGACCGTAAGATTCAAATTCCCGGCGAATTATGCTATATTTTGAAAAGCTAACAATATGCTACACGACGCCATTTCATCCTGCCCCGACCCTCGGTTCGCGCCAGTCACTCCGGCAAGTGGGACCTGTGCTGCGCGGCATTTTATAAAACAATGTAATTTTTGTATTATTTTTGTCCATCCGATCTTTCCCTATCACTTTTATTTACGATTTTTAGCGAGAATATGGCTTCTTTTGTTATTATTTTGTGTGGATACTAATTTTTATGAAGTTATAGCTAAATAAAGCTGGTCCATGCAGGGGTAAGATCGCTGTAGGCCGAGATCCGATGTTTCCCCTCGTGAGTGAAGATCGGATGAATATTATCCGATCTTTACCCGTTACAAATATGGCAGTGGTTGTTAAACTTTCATTGGTCGTGTATATTTTTTCGTTGATTACTCAAGTGACTATGGGACTAGACATGCGCGCCGAGCAAGAATTCGGCGGCGGCGGCGCGCCGACCCATTGTGGTCGGCGTGGCGACGCCGCGCCGGCGCGGCCGTATTTTATTTTAATTTTTATAAACATTTATTTAAAATAAGGTAGTAACAAGTGAAACTTAGACCTGGATAGGAATTCAAATTTAATTTCTCAAAATAAAAACAAACCAAACAAGTTCTAATTAATTATACCTTATAATTTGTGCAAAAACGAAAAAGCACATTTTTTTGTTTCTTGCACAAACTATAGGAAATTAAAATTGTGTTTTTTGCACAATGTATAATTATCATTAATAAAAATAATTTTATTAACGTGTACTGGGCTTAGTCTAGATCTTTTAGCAGTCACAGTTAGTCCCACTATAGAAAAAACGCGCTCACTAGGCGTGCTAGTAGCAAATGTTCTGATCACAGAGTACTTTTTATATACATACTGAAAGTTCTGATACGCGCTCCAGAGACTGTAAAAATTTAATTTGTTCTATTTCCGCCGCTCGCTTCAATTCCGGTAAGCGATACCGAACGATTTTTACGATCTTTTTACATTTTTTTATTGATTTTTGAATTTTTAAATAATTGCATGGTTTTATTGACCCCGCGCCCACGCGCCCGTCCCGCGTTGGTTCACGGCGCGCCGATCGGATTTGTCGGCGCGGCGCGGCGTGGGCAGGGCGCGGCGTGGCGCGGCGGCGCCGGCGCGGCGCGCATGTCTATATGGGACTCAGTATCGTTAGCAAGTCTGTATATTTAAAAGTAATAAAACAATACGATGGTTTTATTACTTTTAAGTACATATTAAAATACATTTTTTTTATAGGATAAGGGTGACAAAGGAGCACACAGTCCACCTGATGTTAAGTGATTGGTGCGGCCCATAGACATCTATATCTATCCTCTATTACAAATCAAAATGTAATTTATAATAATTATTTAAAAAATAATTTATAATAATAAATGCCGCTTTGTTAAAATATTTATATCTTCCTTAACTCCTGCATTATCCCAGGGCATTTCGCCAGTTCTTCCTGTTATTTTTTTTTCCATATAAAATCAAATGCATCCGATCTTTCTCCTATATTGAGTAATTCCATCTTATGTCATAACAAAGTTTGAGAAACATAAAATTACAATTTCTTTATATCAGGGATAAGATCGGATGGCAAGAAACAAAAAAAGAGAAAATCGTTTGGAACATTTATGTTTCTAGTAATTTATAGATCATATTGAAATATGTTTTTGAGCGTTAAAGATACGACAAATCTCTTTTATAAACTTTTTTCTCTAAGCAGTAGAAGTGGTTTTAAATTTAAGTCCGGTCTTACCCCTTAATGGCCAATTTTTCATTATGCATATAAAAAAGTATGTCTAGTTTTCGCACACCTTTAAAGCAGAAACCGTTGAGTTTACACAAGCAAAAGATTCTCAGAGCTAAACTACGTTTAACGATTAACGGTTTGCTCCATGTTCCATAAATCTGACGTATACGAATGTCGAGAAATTAAAGTTTTTGGCAGACTCTTCCAACTATTCTAAAATCCGTCCGGTATTACCCCAACGTACCTTACGTGTTTGGAAAACATTGTCTGAGAAACAAATATATGGAGGATGTGTCAAGTCCAACGCCAACGTCGAGCAAACCATAGGTGGTAGAGTCACGCTGCAGCTATATTAGGATTGTAGCACGAATGACCGGGGAAGGTCTACGCTCTTACAGAATACCAATTAATGCTGCTATTTAATATGGTCTGCGTAGAGAACCGGAGACACTTTTTACTGGAAACGAGGAATTCCATCTTAGTCCTCAGGGGTAATAACTCATTTTGGTCTTAATTATGGATAGAAATGTAGATATCTAATGGTTACATTGTGCTCGTTTGTTACCCCTTCTTTCTCTTCTTTCTTTCTTCTCTACATAGTACATAGTATAAACCAAAGTCGCTTCCCGCCGTCTGTACGCTTAGATCTTATAAAGTACGCAACGGATTTTGATGTTATTTCCAACAATAGACATAACAATTCAAGGAAAAAGTTTATACGTATAATAAATGCATATTATATATTATATAATTCTTCTGTCCATGTGTATATGACGGAATCCTCCTAAACGGCTGGGCCGATTTTGATGAAAAGTTTGTTGATTAGAGAATGGTTTAGATTCACAATTGGATCCAGTAGGTGGCGCTGTTGTCGAGATCCAGAAATCACTCGTGTGAATCCGAGGCTGGTCGCTTGTAATTCATAAACAAATATTTTCTTTATACTATATTTATTACTATATATCTTTTTCTTTAGACCGAATTATCGACGAATGAATCTGGCATACCCTTACCCTGAACCTCTTCGTTCATCACCATCTCCCTTTGTTTGGTCACCTTACCGCAACATATACCAAGGCGTACGAAGAAAAAGTGACCACAGGATTTATAACAAAAAATTTAATTACGCGGCGAAGTCTTTCGGACATCACGTCTTTTGTGAGGCAATGGTTGCCTGCCAAGTATGTATTTTTTTTCTGTATAGAAAAAACGTATGTAACATCCACACTAGGATTTTCTCCTGTATCGTGGGGGCAGTTTACATACATATATTTCACAACGACAAACATCCGGACCCGGAACAATTATTTGTAGGCCATACAAATACTTTTTCCGTGCGGGATGCGAAGCACCGCCCCGTGCGCTGTAACTCATTGTTAAGCCACTGCGTCACGCACCGGTCAATATAAAAGCCGTCATATATAATATACAAATAAATAAAATCGAAGTGTCTGTTTTTAATGTCAAAATAACAGCTTTTTTCTAAATGCATATGAAGGTATATACGGTACCTATAACAAAAAACAATTTTTAATTTTTTTGTTAATCTGTCTATCTGTCTGTTTGTCTGTTTGTTGCGGCTTATCTTCGGAACGGCTCAACCGATTTTGACGAGACTTTCACTGGTAGAGAGCTAATATTATAAGAAATTACTTAGGCTACTTATATTAGAAAAAAATAGGGTTCCGAACAAAAAAAAAACCTAATGGCAATAAATTTCACGCGGACGAAGTCGCGGTGAACAGGACGTAAGATGGCTTAGGACGGTGTTTTGTGGCATACCATTTTGCTAACTGAAGCAGTAAAGAGAACTGAAAAATCTGAAGATCCATCGAATATTTGCATGCCTTATCTATAATAAATTTGGCACCAATCATAATCGCAGAACAACTTGCTGTTTTTTATTTTGTATACTAGTATCGAATTTGGCGTGTTTTCTGATTTAATTAAACATTTTTTTTTATAGGAGAGGGGGCAAACGGGCATGCGGCTCACCTGATGGTAAGTGACTACCGCACAGAGTACTTTTATATATACGACTACCGCCGCCCATGAACAAATGCAACACGTTGCCGGCCTTTAAAAAAGAAGTAGGCTTTTTTCTTGAAGGTCTCTAAGTCGTATCGGTCCGGAAAAATCGCTGATGGTAATCGATTCCACAAGGAAGTTGTGCGAGGGAGAAAACTTCTTCTAAATCGCACAGTGGTGGACCGCCAATCGTCCAGATGATATGGATAGTATCGCGAGTTCTGTCGCGATGTGCGATGGTGAATTTGAGCGGCTGGAATTAGTCCGTACAATTCCTCAGAGCACTCTCCGTGATAGATGCGATAAAATACGCAAAGAGATGCAAAATCTCTACGCAGTGCCAGTAAGTCAAGCCGATCGGAAAGAACTCGGTCGTTGACGATTCGAACCGCTCTGCGCTGGACGCGGTCAAGTGGAAGGAGCTGGCACTGGGGAGCCCCTGCCCAGAGATGGGAACAGTATTCCATATGAGGCCGAACCTGCGCCTTGTAAAGTTGCAAGCGGTGTGCCCGCATGAAATACTGTCCCGCTCTGCTGAGCACGCCAAGCTTTTTAGAGGCCAATTTGGCCTTCTCTTCCAAGTGACCACGAACTTCACGTCACTCGATATGTCGACACCGAGGATACCGATACTGGCTGAGGCAACAAGGGGAGTGCCTTGAAACTGAGGAGATACGACAAACAGATTCTTTTTAGCGGTAAACGCGCAAACTTGTGTCTTCTGGGGATTGAACTGGACTAGATTTAATCGCCCCCAGTCTGAGACTTTGTTTAACAAAGTCTCGACTTCAGACACAAGTTTGTTCCGGTACTCAGCGACGTTTTCCCGAGAAATATTGGCACGGCTGGTGTACAAAGCATCACCAGTGCTGTCATCCGCATAGCAACGAATGTTACTGGTTTGCAACATATCATTGATATGCAGAAGAAACAGCGTTGGTGATAGAACGCAGCCTTGTGGAACACCAGCGTTAATGGGCTTGTAATCGGAGCACGCACCGTCTATTACGACCTTGATGCTCCGATCTGCAAGAAAACCAAAACAAAAGTGATCCAATTGCACAATTTCTCGGGAAGCCCATAGGAAGGCAGCTTCAAAAGAAGCGCTTTGTGCCAAACCCATTCGAAGGCCTTCGCTATGCCCAAACTAACGGCCAACGCCTCCCCCTTGGACTCCACTGCCTCCGCCCATCTATGAGTTAGGTATGGTATTCCTAGAAGATACCTGATACCTAGAAGATCACCTGCTAAGTGACCTTGACGGAAACCGTACTGGCGGTCACTAATCAGCCGGTGATCCTCAAGGTACCGCATGACGTAGCTGTTAATAGTGGTTTCCATTACTTTGGAGAACAAGGAGGTGAATGCGATAGGCCTTTAGTTGGACGGATCTGAGCGGTCGCCTTTTTTAGGGATCGGGTGCACCAAAGCTGTGAATTGGCAACAACGCTAGGATCTTCCGGCGAGAAGCAAACCCGCCCCCAAGGGTAGGGTGCAAAAAAAGACCGCATCCCGTCCCAATCGGCTGACCTATAGTGCCAAACACGGCGGCAACTTGCAGATCGCAACTGCGATGGGAGCGTGAGTGGCACCATACTCCGGATCAGACAATGGTCCGAAGAGCCCAGAGGGGCATCGACGGAGACCTGATATCCCTCCGGATGAGAGGTCAGCAAAAGGTCCAACAGGGAAGGTACATGATCCTCCACATCTGGGATCTGCGTAGGCGAAGTCACCAGTTGTGTTAGACCATATGCCAAGGGAAAATCATACACAGATCTACCCGCATGATCAATTAAACGGGAGCCAAGCCATTCAGCGTGGTGGGCGTTAAAATCACCGAGTATCACTATCTCTGCGGATGGGACCTGTTGTAGTACGGAGTCTGCAGTCATTTGCACGCTGTCGATGAGTCGGTCTGTGTCGGCATTACCGCTATGGGACCTATAGAGGCACCCGTAGACGCGGGGATGGTCTTCGCTGTCTACGCGCAGCCATAGGGTGAACAGGTCCGTACCTTCAAGACTGCCGAGGCGTCGAGAACAGATGTCCTCTCTGACGTATTTTGCCCCCCCACCCCCCGGGGCAGCCTGAGCACCCACGCCCAGGAGTGGAGTAGTTTGATCGTGGATGCTCAAAGAGGGATTCTCCAGGGGTGCTGGTACCCTCCTGGGGTAGTCTAGTAGAGACCTTTATTTAAATCTAGTAGTACATAGGGCCCCACTGAGTTTTGACCTATTTTTGTACTGTCAACACTTAGTGAAAATGTTGAAAAAATATTCCAGTTCAAATGTTAAGTTTATTTTAACCTATATATAAATTGCTCCATAAAAATCAGTACGGTTTTACAAGGAGTCGCTCCACAATTGACGCTGGTTTTGAAATTGTAGAACTCAGCAGATGCTTTAGGAATATTTTGTGTCTTTTTCAATCCTTTCGACAGTGTTCACCATGAGACATCAATCAGGAAGCTACATCATTATGGTGTAAGAAACTTAGTGCTTAAACTTATTACATCATATTTAAACAACAGAACTCAAACAGTTGTTATATATGGGGGCGGTTCCTCTGGGTCAGTAGTATTCCTGACTCCAACTGCTACTGAGAATTTCTTGTCAGAAATACCTAATAATAGATTTTGATCCAACACAGTTTTTAAACCTGGGTCTAGTCAATGACCGTGGTCCAATGACCATTAGTCGCATTTGTGACCACCAGACCGACGTGGTAAGAAACAACCATGATATAGTTTTATTTGTTGATGATACTTCATTGATTTTTGGACTTGGACGGCAACTATTATAATTTAAAATGTTATACAACTAACTTCAAAATAAATTATTAAGAATAACTCAAAAACTGTTAGTCAGAACTTGGTCAAATTTATATGAGACCACACGAGAAGTACCAGCTTTCAAATAAAAAAACAGTCATCGAAATCGGTTCACACAGAAAAAAGTTATGAAGATTAAAAAAATTAATGTAATGAAAATGTAAGTTAAAAAAGTTATGAGGAGACAAACACACATAAAAAAAGAAAAAAAATATACAGTCGAATTGAGTACCGTCTCCTTTTAAGTCGGTAGAAAAATGACAAATTGCTATATCGAAATTAGTAAACTGATTTAATGTCAACGATTTGCTTTTGAAATGTATTAAATTCACAACACCAAATGTTAAACAGGTGATACCAGTGTGCTTTTAAATGAAAAAGAGTTGAGTCTCCTTGACTCCAAGGTTTTCTAAATTTACAGTTGTCACAAAGTTTTATTGAACCCCGTAAATACCAAACTAGCCCGCAAACTTAGTTCTGTAAAAAGATTAAGGTAGGTCCGCCTAAAAAGGGCCGGTTCCTAATAAGGTCCATCTTTTCAAACTTCCCGCACTTAATACTTAAATCAAAATGGATATCGCGCAGCCACTCCCTAGTGACTAATCACAAAAGCGTCCAGACTATGATTACAGAAGTGTAATACCTAATAAGGTCCAAGGACTAAGATTGAAAAAATGACTGATTTGTAACATTTTGTGATTTTTTTTACTAGAGTTAATAAAAATCAGCATAAAAATACAATTTGTTTCATTTATAACTAGAAAATAGATTAGTAATAACTTATATATACATTTCCTAAGACTTTATAAGGGCCACGACATTGATTTATATGAATTTCCGTTTCTTTATTTGAAAGTCACGAACTTAACAGTAGTTTAAAGCTATTGATTTCCAAAGATGTGATTTTTCTGGTATACAATACCTAAAATCTTACAGTTCAATAATTATGGACCTTATTTAGAGCCCTAGAGCCCTCTAAGGACCATAGACAAGCTTTTAAAAAACTTTTTTTTGTAATTGGCCATTGATGCCGGGTTTTTGTACAATATTTTATCTTCAAATAATAACAGTTTATTTGATCGTGATGTCTTACAAATTAACACACTTCCCAAATTTGATTTATAAGGATTTCCCAAAACCCTGCCCTTATTAGATGCAATTACCTTAGTAATATTAAATAAAAAAATCCAAATTTTTAAATTAAATATAGTCTAGATCACCCCTATCATTATTCTCTGTTTGTGAAGTTTTATCACAATTTGTTCAGCCGTTCAGAAGATTAGTCCGGATATACAGACAGACAGACAGGAGGACAAAAATTTACAAATGTTTATTCATTTCTAAATGGCATGCAAATAACCTTCTACTCGCTAAAAGTAATTTATTTGAATATTACAGACAGCCACTTCAATTTTATTTATATGGATAGATATAAATAATAAAATTAAATGTTGTTCTGACAGATAACGCACATGGCGGTAGAAACCAACGATGGCATTCCGATTATACTCCGTGGTGGTGCCGGGTACAATTATTTTAAAATCATCATAAAAGCTGAAGCCGGGGTACGTTTACAGGGTTCCGTGAAGGCCTACTGCAAAAGCAAGGATAATAATTAGTCTGAGATTATAATTAATTATTAATTGTGTGTTATTTCATTTAAATAATATATTACTGCGTTATGTAAATAAAAGTACATTTTGATTTCTTATATTAACGCGAACACTACACATTGAATTAAACTACTTTTACGGATTTTATCGCGTTTAATTAAGTTATTTTATATTCCCGACGTTTCGGTTGCTTTCCAGCAACCGTGGTCACGGGTCAATCACCTCAGTCCCCCGTGACCACGGTTGGTGGAAAGCAACCGAAACGTCGGGAATATAAAATAACTTAATTAAACGCGATAAAATCCGTAAAAGTAGTTTAATTCAAAAGTACATTTGTTTATATTATAGTAGGTATATCTTGTCTTATAATGCATGTACAATCGCCAGCAATTTGTACCTACTTTAAAGAATAGGTTAAGGATGTGTAAGATAATAAGTGACATTGTCTGTATTCTCACGTGTGTAAAAATTTATAAAAATAAATAAAGTAAAATAAGCCTTTCTTGCTGTAAATTAATAACATGCATAGAGTTTTTTATATTACTTAACTCTATTTGTCAATATTTACATTTTACTTGCATTTAATTGCATCGGCAACCGGTTTTTCTTTTACAGCTTGTCCTTCGACAAAGGTCTCCTCTAAAGCTTTCCATTTTCTCCTGTCCTTTGCAATGCGGGCCAGACCAGCCATCTTTTCATGTCGTCTTCCCAACGTTTAGTTTTATTTGCCTAAAAACAGTAAGTGTCGTAAATGAAAATACAACTGCTATTTACCGTGCCAGCTACGGGCCCGTTCCCGCCCCTGCGCGATCCATAGTTTTTATTCTGAATGTTCGGTTTAGTAGTACGAGGGTGACAGTGAAAATTCTTAGAAAATTAAAAACTGAAGCAAGTTATTAGTTTTTGCATGCCGTAAGCGCAACGCGCGTAGGTATGTTCTACTAGCGCATAAAAATCAAGATTCCAACGTTTTGTCGCATAAAATCGTATCTAGCAATCATATTACACATATAAATGATATAAAAAGCACATTGTCAGAAAGATAAATGATTGTATTGAACTTATTAATATATTTTGAAATCGTTTAATTGCTATTTTTACATAAAAACGGGTTTTAGTGGCTTACGGTGTGGATTTATCAAGTCCGTATGGCTTCGTAAAGACTATAACTTTTGAAAATATCAATTGTTCAACGCAATATATTTTTAAAACTCTTCATCTATCATGTGTGAAGCCATGGAATGTAAATGGCAATTTAATTTTGTTTTCTTTAGTTATTATAATTTTTTTTCGGCTGCTAAATGTCGAAATTTTCGGTGATTTTGCAGCCTTGTGTGAATTCATTTTTTAGTAATCAGAGACTACCTCACTCGGTTAGTTCAGCGCATAGATAATACACTATAGTTCAGCGTCAACCGCCGTTGTGAGTGGATACTGTATCGGTCGTTTGCAGCGGCTCAAAAAGATCGCTGCACAAATAAATACAAAATATTCGAAAAACAAATGACATATTACATACTTGATTATTTTAATAATCAGAGATTTTTATTACAATATTTTAAAAGCACAGAATAAATAATAGTAGTACGTACTAAAAGTAAGTAGGATGTAATATTTATAATAATTGGTCTTTGGAGTGACTTAATGATGACCATATGAGCATTATGAGTCGTGTACTTTTGGATTTTCCAAACTTTTTTTAAATTGAAGTTTGACATAAAATTATCGGGAAATTGGAAGTATAATGAGGTTATTAGTGAAAACTTGTGTGTATTTAAACTACTTCAAAAAAATTCCGTATAATCATGTTATACGTATTATTTTTAATGCGATTATGGCATGCTCAATTGGATTTACCAATAGTTTTTTATTATATCTTTTCAAAATAGAGTTTATATCACATATATCGCTGCATCTGGTGGAACCACTGAGAAAAGCAATTTGCCTACTAGTCTTTTTTTTTTTATAGGAAAGGGGGCAAACGAGCATGCGGCTCACCTGATGGTAAGTGACTACCGCCACCCATGAACAACTGCAACACCAGGGGAATCGCAGATGCGTTGCCGGCCTTTTAAAAAGGAGTACGCTCTTTTCTTGAAGGTCCCTAAGTCGTATCGGTCCGGAAAAATCGCTGATGGTAATCGATTCCACAAGGAGGTCGTGCGAGGAAGAAAACATCTTCTAAATCGCACAGTGGTGGACCGCCAATCATCCAGATGGTGTGGATGGTATCGGGAGTTCTGCCGCGATGTGCGTTCGTGAAATTTGGCGGCTGGGATTAATCCGAACAATTCCTCAGAGCACTCCCCATGGTAGATGCGAAAGTAAATGCAAAGGGATGCAACATCTCTTCGCAGTGCCAATGAATCGAGCCAATCGGAAAGGGCTCGGTAGTCGACAATTCGAGCCGCTCTGCGTTGGATGCGGTCAAGTGGAAGGAGCTGGCACTGGGGAGCCCCTGTCCAGAGATGGGAACAGTATTCCATGTGAGGCCGGACTTGCGCCTTGTAAAGTAGCAGGCGGTGTGCCGGCATGAAATACTGTCCCGCTCTGCTGAGCACGCCAAGCTTTTTAGAGGCCAATTTGGCCTTCCCTTCCAAGTGACCACGAAACTGCACGTCACTCGATATGTCGACTCCGAGGATACCGATACTGGCTGAGGCAAGAAGGGGAGTGCCTTGAAACTGAGGAGATACGACAAAGGGGTTCTTTTTAGCGGTAAACGCGCAAACTTGTGTCTTCTGAGGATTAAATTGGACTAGATTTAGTCGCCCCCAATTCGAGACTTTGTTCAGCAAAGACTCGACTTCAGACACAAGTTTGTTCCGGTACTCAGCGACGTTTTCCCGAGAAATATTGGCACGGCCGGTGTATAGAGCATCACCAGTGCTGTCATCCGCATAGCAATGAATGTTACCAGTTAGCAACATATCATTGATATGCAGAAGAAACAGCGTTGGTGATAGCACACAGCCTTGTGGAACACCAGCGTTAATAGGCTTGTAGTCAGAGCATGCACCGTCTACAACGACCTTGATGTTCCGATCTGCAAGGAAGCTGGTGATCCAATTGCACAATTTCTCGGGAAGCCCATAGGAAGGGAGCTTCGAAAGAAGGACTTTGTGCCAAACCCGATCGAAGGCCTTCGCAATGTCCAAACTAACGGCCAATGCCTCCCCCTTGGACTCTACTGCCAACGCCCATCTATGAGTTAAGTAGACCAGAAGATCACCAGCTGATCGACCCCGACGAAAACCGTACTGGCGGTCACTAATCAGCTGGTGATCCTCAAGGTACCGGATGAGCTGGCAGTTAATAATGGATTCCATTATTTTGGAGAACAAGGAGGTGATCGCGATAGGCCTATAGTTGGATGGGTCTGAGCGGTCGCCTTTTTTAGGGATCGGGTGGACAAAAGCTGTCTTCCATGAATTCGGGACTACGCCTTGGGAGTAGGAGTACCGGAAAAGACGCGTTAGGACCGGTGCCAACTCCGGAGCACACGTCCTCAGCACAATTGGGGGGATTCCGTCAGGCCCACTCGACTTCTGGATGTTCAGGGAGAGCAGTGCTTTGCGAACCGAGCGCTGTGAGAACAGCACATCCGGCATGGAGCACTCACACCGCGGGATGGTCGGCGGTGTTTTCCCCCCGTCATCAAGAGTCGAGTTGGACGCAAAAAGGGAGCCTAAAAGGTCGGCTTTGTCTTTTGCGTCTAGGGCCAGTGAGTCGTCCTCCCTGTGCAGAGATGGTAGTGATGGCTTACAGAAATTCCCTTGGACAGCCTTGGCGAGAGACCAGAATGCACGGGTTCCCGAAGCAAGGCGAACTAGTTTCTCGCCAATTCTGCCTATGTGCTCTGACTTTGCCTTGGCAATAACTCTTTTGAAGGACCTGGAGGCGAAGTTATACTTCTTTTTAAGTGTGCTGGTATTTACATCCCGAGTCGCCGAAGCCGCAGCCCAGGCTTGATAACACTCCTGCTTACTGCGTAATGCAGTCTTACAGGAGCGACCAAACCAAGGCTGAGGTCTGCCTCCGATGGGTACCACAGATGATGGAATAAATAGTTCCATTCCCTGTAGCACCACATCAGTGACAGAGTCAGCAACAGCGCTGGGATCATCCGGCGAGAAGCAAACCCACCCCCATGGGTAGGATGCAAAGAAGGACCGCATTCCGTCCCAATCCGCCGACCTGTAATGCCAAACACGGCGGCAACCTGCAGAACGCAACCGCGAAGGGAGCGTGAGTGGCACCACACTCCGGATCAGACAATGGTCCGAAGAGCCGAGAGGGGCATCGACGGAAACCTGATATCCGTCCGGATGAGAGGTCAGCAGAAGGTCCAACAGGGAAGGTGTATGATCCTCCACATCTGGAATCCGCGTAGACGAAGTAACCAGTTGTGTCAGACCATATGCCAAGGCAAAGTCATAAACAGATCTCCCCGCATGATCGGTTAGACGTGAACCGAGCCATTCGGCATGGTGGGCGTTAAAATCGCCAAGGATCACGATCTCTGCGGATGGGACCTGTTGTAGCTGTAGCCATTTGGACGTGGTCGATGAGTCGGTCTGTTTCGGCATTACCGCTATGGGACCTATAGAGGCACCCGTAGACGCGCGGATGGTCGTCGCTGTCTACGCGTAACCAAAGGATGGACAGGTCCGAACCTTCAAGACTGCCGAGGCGTCGAGAACAGATGTCCTCTCTGACATACACGCAAACTCCAGCCCGAGGCACAAAGGAATGCTCCAATTTGTACCCCGGGTAGGAGAGATACGAAATATCAGCCGGAGAGGAAACCTGCGTCTCGGTCAGAAAGAGCAAGGCTGGCTTCGCCGTCTCGAGATGGTAGTGGACGGCGTTTAGGTTAGAGTGAAGTCCCCTGATGTTGCAGAAATTCACGGATAGCGTGGCAGGGGTCGCCTTGGTGTTCTTGCTCAGTTTGCCCGTAGCAGTAATGCTTTTGAGCGGAATTTTGCCCCCCCCAGAATACGCGG